ATTACAGGCTGAGTCACCGAGCCCGGCTGGTAAATTATTCTTATAAAACATTAGTATTTTCTTCTGTGTAGATATCTATTTAACTACTGATTCAGTTTACTTTATGGTTATAGGTCTATTTTGCTTTTCTTTTTCTGCTGGAGTAAGTTTTAATTACACTCTTATAGGATATTACTTGCTTCAGTGAGATTTTCAACTTTATTGGCACAAAGTTGTTTACCGTATTGTCTTATGATTTATTAATTTATAGTATTGTCTTTATGATTTCTTAATCAGATCACCATATAATGTGTTTTAAAAATCAAAGAAATAATAAAATTAGAAAGCATAATAATATAAATTATGAAGACAGAATATGACCAAATACATCTGTCTGGACACAAAATGAAAAGATGTGCCTTAAATATGGTGACTTGGAAAAGCTGAAAATTAAAGAATGAGTGACATTGTCAGGCAAATGCAAACAAATTAAAATTGCTATTGTGGTTTAATACCAAAAACAGATGAATTGGGGGCAAAGCATTTTATCATGCTAAAGACTAAAATTCGTAATAAAGATATAAGCTATAAATATCAATGCATTAAATCACATACAAAATTAATAAAGTAAAAATCAAAATAAATTTTATTTAAAACCATAGAAACATGGTAGTGGTAGAAAATGCAATTGATTTCTCTTAGTTCACGAATAATGACCTAGTGATTAAAAACTAGGTAAGGATATAGAAGGCCTATATCACATAATTAATAATGTTACTAATAACTAATATGTATTATAGAATACATATATACATATGCACAAAACACATACACAAAAAATGAATATATCTTTTCAGGGACCCATGGAACATTGAGAAACACTACTTATATATTAGGCAATTAAAAAGAACTCACTCTTCCATAATTTCCAAAAACTATAATAATAGTTCAATTTCTAGTAGTGACATGCTAGGTATTTACAAGCAGCCTTCCCTGGTGAGGGCAACCAACGTAGACTGGGTGAAGTATAAAGAAAAACTAACAACTTTCTTGAAACTCCAAGTTGCTGATTTTTCAAAGCCTTCAGGCTACTGAAGAATTCAGACCAAAATCCAGGCTAAGGAGGGCACCAATGCTCACAACCATTTTTACCACAAGAGCATCCACCATCCAGGAAGAAGAAACTAGCCAAACTGAGCTACGCTTTGTGGTCTCGAAGAACAAATGTGAAAAAAATCAGAAGCCAGGCCCAGCAAGGCTGGAGGTCACCCGAGTGGTCTGACCTCAGGCAGTGCCCAGCCAGACAGCTCTGCAGCAATGTGTCTTTGGGAAATGTCTCCCATGCCAAGTCATTTTGGGTTCCATGATATCTTCGCAGCCAGCATTAGCAGTGCTGCCTTTGCAAAAACTAATATGATTGTTAGTGGCAGCAACAATGAAAGGTGAAAAACAAACGCATACATACTGTCTGCATATCATCCATTTGAAAGGAGATAGTGTCCTTCTATTTAAATGCTGACTGCCTTCTCATTGTCCATATTTCTTTAGGGTTATCCTGACTATGAATAAGATGTCAGTCCATTGTCAACTCCATCTTGGCTTTGCGTATCAACAGACCCCCACCAAACCTCTTACTCCAGCCTGCCATATTTCCCTGTAAAAACTGAGATGACTTCTGCCATAAATAGTCTGGATGTGCCAACAAAAGGGAATTTGAAGCTCCGTCATTAAAGAAAACTACTGTTAAATTTTTTAAATTGCCCAGATGAAACTATATGAGAGAGAAGGTGCTTGACCCAGGGAGACAAATCAGAGGGTAGGAAGGTTAAGTTTGGAGGGAGGAAGCTACCTCTGCTGTCTGTATCCCCTATAAATGTAAGGAACGGGGTGCTTCACAGTAAGTCAGCTTCTCTGGAGAGACCTAGTGTGTGACTCTTAGCCTGTAGTGTTCAGGACGACGTTGCCCAGCAATGCACAGCGACTTTGTCAGGCAAGTGCCAGGAAGAGCGTGCGGGCAGGTGCACGCCTGACGTCAACCAGCTTTGCACGCTCCCACTGAGACCGGGAAGTGAGATATAAGCCCTTGTTTTCTCTTTCAGCCACAGAGTTGATGTTCATGCAGCAGGACAGTTAAGGCAGAAATCCAATTACTGAGCTAATTAGCACCTTGGAGTGGTAAGCACCACATTTACAGGAGGAAAGCACTGGAGAAAAGCTCAAATTACCCAGGATAGCTGAACGTCCACCTTCTCAGAGAGCAGGTGGAGAGCCAGAGGCCCTGGGGTACTCAGCAGCCTATCTTAGTTATTGCTTATCAGAATTTTGCACTCTGCATTTTACAGACTTTCAAAAAGATAGCTTTCCAGTGAACATAGTTTTAGAGGATGTTTTAATTCCCTAAGGAGCTCAGTAAATGACTTTTTTTTTGGGCTCAGTCTCCCTCTAAAAATTGTTTATTCCACAGCTGAAAATTCCATTTGTCTAAGGTCTTAAGGTGAAATTAAAATTCCATTTAGGGACTAACTATGCAGACATGGGATTTCGGTCCTCATTAGAAAGAATTCTGTTGTTTGCTTTATTTTCTGCCACCCTGGAATGTTTTATTTTTCAAAGCTGCTATGCAGATATTTGGAAGAAAAACTAAGGCTGTAATAGAACAGCATGCCGGGATTAACAGCCTTTCTGAGATGTCATAGAATATTTCTTCACTCCAGGCCATCCATAGAGTCTGTTCCACAAAGCTCAAACAGGATCTTGCCTGGATGATTCTCAAACATCTGAGACATACAGGAAAAGAAAAGAATACTTTGTATTTATTTAAATTGCAGTTTCATCCAAATATATTCTTATCTGTTCTGATCCCTATGAGACAAGTTCACAAAAAAAAGACTGCATTCTGAGGTTTCCTCTTAAGCACCATTTTCTGACAAGTGCTTGTCATTTATTGGTCGGATGAGTATGTCAATAATCATGTTTAAACATAAGCCAAATACACAGCATCAGGTGGGAGCTAGTCTTCTTTCTTCTTAGCAGATATCGTAAGAATGAAAACTTGAGAAGTAGCCTTATCTTTAGCTACACATTCATTCATTTATTCTTCAAATATTTATTAACTACCGCATGTTGGTTGTGAGCAACAAAGTTTCTCTCCTAGTACTTAGGGCCGTGGAAGAGGCAGATAAAATCAGATAATGACACAAAGAGATGTGTGATGTGGAGTGGAGCACAGGCTCCAGAGCTAGCCTACCTGGGTTTGAATTCTAGCTCCACCACCTGTTAGATCTGTGACCCTGGGCACTTGACTTAATCTGTGTCTCTGCTTCATCCTCTGGGAGAACGTGTACAATAATGTGACCCACCCCAGAGGGTAGGTGTGAGGATAATACATGTAAAATACTTAGAGCAAATGCACAACACTAGCAAATGCTACATCAGTGTTAGCTGTCGTTATTATTAGCATCAGCCAGGGCCTGTGCTCCAAAGGAGAGGTATGGTGTGTGAAAGAGCACATGGCAACGGAATCTCACCCAGAGGAGTGTCAGGGAAGTGTCCCTGAGAAAGGGACTTGAGCTGGGACTTGACGCCTGAGAGAAGTCGATGAGGATAAATGAGTGGGAATGGAAAGGAAGTACCAGTAGCAAAGGATTCAAGGGATGGAAGCACGAGAAGAATAGGAGGTCGGGGCGTGTTGAAGATGTGGAAAAAGGACAACAGGATGAAGCAAAGAAAAAAAAGGGCGCAGTGGCAGCCAAGGTGGAAGCCAAGCGTGTTCAAGACCAGGCTGTGCACATATGTCAGTGGGACTTCATCATGTCCAAATCTTTACGGAAGCCCTATGCTCAGTGCTGATATCATTCTAGTGAAAGCCTTTTCTTAATGACTGATATGTCAGATTTAACCATATGAAACTACCATTTTTGTAGGTCAGAAACAGTTGACTGTTGTCAGTTTATAAGCTTGGCATCAACTTCATATTTCATTCTTCAGAGGGTAATGGGACCATTACTCAGTGTCTGAAATAAAGACAAAACTGGGCAGGCACAGTTTCTCCAAGCACAGCAGATTGTTGCACTTATAAAGGGTCTTCAGGACATGTGGAGTTCAAGGATTGATAAAGTTGTGAAGCGTAGGTGGGTTGACAGCATCTACAGAGGGTGCCAAAAAATGTATGCACATTTTTAAGAAATGAAAACACCGTGTTAAAATTCTCATAATAAGATGAATATGAGTCAATTTGAATTTTGCAATTATAAGAGGTACTCAAAGTGGTTACCATCAGTGTCCAGACTGATTACGGCAAACACCTCTTAACATCTCTTAAAAATGTGTGTACTTTTTTTGGCATCCCTATTATATAGGAGGTTACACAGAGACACTTTTGTAAAGTCTGGATGAGTCTCTTCCTCACTGACTGACTCTCTAAAGCTAGGGGTTGTCATGAGCTGGATGCCTTAGAAAAACTGTGAACTGAGGGACATTGTCATGCTTAATAGGTTCAGGGAAGGTTCTGGTGGCCACTTGCTACCATGACTGCAGACAACCTGTGTCCTCCTAAATTTGTAAGAGCTGTTTTCATTCTCGTGACTCTACCTAAGAAAGATCTACAAGAGTATACCCAACCCTTGAAATCAGGTGATGGAGATGTTTACCACTTTCCATGATTTTCTGGAGTCAATTTGAATAGAGAGATACCTATCTGGCCATTGCTCTCAAGTCACTTAAGTGAGTTGCATTCCATTGGCAATTCAAACACTTGCTTTTATTTTGTGGATCTAGTGCTCAAAACTGATGAAGACACAAGACTATTTCCCCCAAATCAGAAGTACTCATCTCTTCCCTCCATATGCTCTTTCTTATTCTGAGACTCCTCTGTTCCTGCAGTATTGCCAAACTGGGGCAATCATGTTAACCTGTGAGCTGTATCGCCTGCTTTTCCTATTCACCCGGGTGGTTCTGTAAACTAACTCCCTCACTTAGAGAAATCTAATCATGACCTTCTATCCTTTTGTGGCCTCTTCTAGTACCAAGAGAGTGGATAATTCCAACACAAGACTGGCAGTCCAAATTGAAAGGGATCCAGGTAAGACAATGTCATTCTTTCCTCATTAAAAGCTATTTATCGTTATATTGATGGATTCCAAAGAGGGCAATCAAGTACTCACCTTTTTAATAATTAAGGAGATAACTCACATCTTGGCTAATATGCTAACTGCAGAATATAACTGCACAAGTAGACCGATCAAGCGCCCTGCTGTGGTTTGGAAATGCCTGCCTCTATTATCTAGCATTGATTAAGTACTTGTTCAGTATTGAATGACTCTGTTTATAAAGACATTTTAGTTTGTGGATGGTAAACATCAAACACACACTATAAACCTTGGGACCCATCTTCTAGAAAAAAAGAAAATTCTTTGAAAAAACATCAACATTATGATGTCCTCAAAGGCAAACCGTTCCAGGATCCAGACAGAAACCTCTGGAAAGTTTTGTCAGCATTAAGCTATGAAAAGATTTACCTGCTAGAAAATTATTTTTTTCCATAATCTTTTTATTTTTAACTAATCTCTTCCTTCTTCATATCAAAATGCAAATTTTAACTATTCTCTATTTTTATCCACCGTACTGCCTCCACTGGGCCAAAAATTTTGTCTAGGAAAGAATGTATCATGCTCTTTACCTATATTTGAATTACATATACATGATTAATTTGAAATCAGAATTTGAAATTAGACAATACCTGGAGAGACAGGCTTATTTTTTGTAGAACTTTATATCAGTACAACAGAGAAGGAGGGGCACAAATATCTCTGATGTGCAGCTGTGGGCCTCTGTGACATTGCAGGGCTGCTGATTTTAGGCATAGAGATAGTTTCCCAAGCACATCGTGCTGTTAGTTAATCATAATCGCTGTCTTATTTTAATCTAATTACACAGATGTATGGTCAGCATGTTCTAAGATACCCTGGGTTGTGAATCTCGACTTTTTGTGATTTCAATTGTTTTGTTTTATTTAAGCATCGGGCCGCTTGCCAATTAAGCAAAATCTAATTCTCTCCTTCAGGCCTTTCCTTTAAGTGCCAGAGACTGAAAGTAATCTCTAATTAGTGTCTCAGGATGCATGCTACTTCATCATAGAAAATGAATACAGTGGCAGGTGAAGCAGGCTGCATCCACACAGAAGATTAAGCATACGCATACTTTATTAGACTACATGGCATGACTCAGCCCATAGAAGAGTTTCTGTCCATTAATTATAATTAGGTTATAAATGCACTAATTTCAATTCAGCTTTTTTTTTTTTTTTTTTTGAGTTGGAGTCTCACTCTGTCGCCCAGCCTGGAGTGCAGTGGCCGCTCCCGGCCACCGCAGCCTTGACCTACTGGACTCTGGCAATCCTTCCGCCTCAGCCTTCCGAGTAGCTGGAACTACAGGCTCACACTACCACGCCCGGCTGATTTTTGATTTATTGTAGAGATGAGGTCTCGCCAAGTTGCCCAGGCGGGTCTCGAGCCCGCGGGCTCAGGCAATCCACTCACCTCAGCCTCCCAAAGGCGCAGGATTATAGGCTGAGCCACCAAGCCCGGCTAAATGCACTAATTTCAGTTCAGCTTTTAACTGTCATGAATGCCCAGCAAGGATATTTATAATCGAATAGTGTTACTGTATAGACTTCTTAGAGACAGATTGGTGCTCTTCCTCATGTAAGTGCACTTGGGGCGTCTTTGCTTTTCTGTACCCACCCTTTGTGCCCCAGTTCCCATGGTTACAAAGCAGGGGCACTGCAACCAGATCTACAATCTTTATCTCTGTCCCCCCAGATTCTGTTTCCACTTCGATAGACAACCCAGAAGGATCCTGGAGCTTTGCTTTGGGCATTTCCTCTCTGGGACAACTCTATCCCTCTCTGGCTTTCCAGAACCGTAATTTCTAATTTCCTCCCCAAAGAAAAGCTGCTCCTAAAATAAAAGTCCCGAAGGTAAGCTTTTCTCCTAGTTTCTCCCAGAGCATGCGCCACTCACAGGAACACAGAGCAGGAAAACTTCCCAGTTTATTTAATCTTTCTTTAAAAAAAAAAAAAAAGGCAGCCGGGCTTGGTGACTCAGCCTGTCATCCCGCACTTGGGAGACTGAGGTGAGTGAATTGCCTGAGCTCGCGGGTTCGAGACCCACCTGGGCAACTTGGCGAGACCTCATCTCTACCATAAATCAAAAAATCGGCCGGGCGTGGTAGCGCACGCCTGTAGTTCGGGCTACTCGGAAGGCGGAGGCGGAAGGATCGCCGGAGCCCAGCAGGTCGAGGCCGCGGTGGCTGGGAGCGGCCACTGCACTCCAGTCTGGGCGACAGAGGGAGACTCCAACTCAAAAGAATAAAATAAAATAAAATAAAATGTTACAAAAAGGCATATATCCCTTACCAAGAGAGATCCTGTAGAAGAAAAGGAGTCAGGGCTCAGCAGGGAGGATGCAGACAATGCACCATCCACTCCCAGCTCCAGCCCCTCACATACCCCCGGGCCTTCCCTTGTGACAAAGCGGATTTCATCATTCCCTTCCTTTGCCTTTTCCTTTTCCATCCTTCCCTTGTTCCACAAGCAACAACGGGCAATTCCAAGTGCTGCTGAGGTCGCAGAACTAGAACTTTCGATCACTGCTGGGGAGAGGCAACAATGATTCAGCCACTTTGGAGAACAGCAGTCCCACTGCTATGTATTTACTCAAGAAGAAACTCCTGCTCATGAGTATTTTTTGTGTTTTAACTCATAATCACCCAAACTAGGAACAACCCAAGCATTCTTCAGCTGATGAGTCGATAAACTGTAGTGCGAGTAGATAAGCTCGATGGCAAAACAGAACAAATTGATAAATGCAACAGTGAATGAATGCATTATTCTCAGTGGTGGTTACATGATACTATGCATTTTTCAAGATTCAGAGAATAGTACACTAAAGGATGACTTTGACACTATATACATTATTTGTCAATAAACCTGGGTTGTATATGCATATATATAACATTTACAAATGGCATCAATTTATATAAAACAATTTGTGTGTATATATGTATTATAATATATAAAATGTATATATAACTTATAATTATAGTAATAATATTATATTATATTTTATATGCATTGATGCTAATTGTCTAAATTATACCTCAATGACTTTGATTTAAAAAAAAAGAAACAACCTCTGAAGGTAATTGATGGGTGTGTTCTTAAAAACTTTTATGATCAGCCAGGCTTGGTGGCTCAGCCTGTAATCCCGCGCCTTTGGGAGGCTGAGGTGAGTGGATTGCCTGAGCGAGACCCACCTGGGCAGCGAGACCTCATCTCTACAATAAATCAAAAATCACCTGGTCATGGTAGCGCATGCCTGTAATTCCGGCTACTTGGAAGGCTGAGGGGGAAGGATCGCCGGAGCCCAGCAAGTCGAGGCTGCGGTGGCCGGGAGCGGCCACTACACTCCAATCTGGGCGACAGAGTGAGACTCCAACTCAAAAAAACAAAACAAAAACTTTTATGATCTGTGGTGTTATCTGCTATTCAACAGATATTGAGGTAGTCCCTCCTACTAGTTAGAAATTCTGCTAGTATTGGAATACAGAAATAAGCAAATTCAAATATGGACCCGTCTCCCTTGAATTTATAGTCTATTGAAAAAAATCAGATGTTCATTAAACAACCATATACTCATATACACATGAAAAATCACAGCAAAATTCCAACTGTGACAAGTGCTTCAAAGTTGAGGACCACAGTAGTGAGGGCCTGGAATGGGGGATTTTTCCTAGGAAGTGGTCGATATGACTTTCCTACAGCCCACTGGAGCCAAGATCTGAACGACAGTAGAGTGAATAACCCAGAGAGCATGGAAGAGCGGTGCAGGCAGAGAGATCAGGATCTCCAAAGGCCCAGGGTGGGAAGGAACATGAGTCACTCAACTGAAATAAATTCCATGCTGCTGAGCATAAAGGTTGAGGAGGGTGTTCGTATGAGGTGAGGTTGAAATCTGTAGCTGCCTCTTGCGGCTTGCTCAGGACAATCCTAGCTAATACCTATGAATGATAAATTATATGGTTTCTCTAAGTAGGCTGTGCTAAGAAGTCTTGTCTCTATCTTATGAGCATTGAAACACCTCTAAAGGTTCTAAATAATGGGATTGGAGGGTCCTGAGAAACAGGTCCCACTTTTTAATTTGAAAAACTCATTCTGGCTGCAGTATAGGGAACAGACTGGAGAGCGGGGCCCGGTGAATAAACATGCATGAGTCACATGCCCAGTGTGGTTGTCCATGGGGGAAATATTGGTACCCGGAAATAGGGGGGAGGTAATAGAGGCGGAGAAAGGTAGAAAGATGCAAAAAACATTTGAAGAAGGTCAAATTAAGGTGGAGTGGACAAGGAGGTTCCTAGTTATGGCCGTCCGCATGGTGGTGCTCTTCTCTGGGGTCGAGAACATGGGCAAGGGGTTCCCTGATTTGGGCATGTGGAAGTTGGGGACCGTTTGAGACATACAAGAGACGAAGTTAAGTAAACTAGGTCTACAGGCTTGGCTCAGGCAAGAGATCTCAGCTGGAGATATGACTTTATAAGTCATTTGCATTTAATCAGTAACTGAATTCATTTGTGTAGAGGAGACTACCTAAGAGGAACTGTAGAGGGAAAAAGTGTCTAATTTACTAGAATGGAGGGAGGACAGGTCTTAACTCTTTTTGTGTATACGAAGAGTCCGATTTCAAATGACAACTCACTGTTTTCCAGGTCTCGGTCCGTGGGGAGCAGGCATTCACTGATGGTATTTCTCGCCCGCCTTTAGGGAATGATGACAACAATCTCAATTCCATCTTTTATGAGCACTTGACAAGAACCCTCCAGGAGTCCCTCTGTGGAGACTTAGTTCTTGGCCGCTGGGGCAACTACAGCTCTGGCGATTGCTTCATTTTGGCTTCAGATGACCTCAATGCCTTCGTTCACCTGATTGAAATTGGAAATGGCCTTGTCACCTTTCAACTTCGAGGACTGGAATTCCGAGGTAAGAACTGTAAGTCAGTTACTTGAGTGAATTATCATGCAAAGCTTTAGGAAGAAGTCCTCCTTAAAGAGAAACAAATCAGTGTGTGCCCTGTTGAGTAAGAATAGGGAGCAGTCTACTGACTACCTTTATATAAATAAACCCCTGTCATCTGAGGGAATAATGAACGTCATGTGACATGAGTGCTGTGACAGCATCCTGCAAGTGCCGCACTGGGGACCAGAGAAGAGCCATTGGGGTCCATAGCGCAGTAACCTCAAATCTGAGAGGGTTGCGCATCACGTTTACCTATTCCAAAGAAGTCGCCCAAAGGCCCAGCAGGGAAAGACATGGGTGTATTAAAACTTCCAGGAGGCACTAATGGCGGCAGCTCGGTGAAGAATCCACGCCTCAGGGCAGTAGAGTAAGCGGTTATATAATCAAAGCAATCAAGTTAATCCTTGAAATTCCTATCCAGTGTGTACAATTATATAAAGAGAGCTGCCCACATTGTTTTCAGCTTTGCTTGGTCAACTGCATCCTATGACTCATTACTGAGAGCATGCTCACCCTTCAAAGACCAGCCTTGGCCAGAGGCAGCTCCCCAAGGGAGGGAGCAGAAAGAAACCAAATATGGGGGGAAACAGTCTATGGTGGGGGGGTCACCGCCCCAAAAAAGGGCTTATCAGTGTATGGTTATGAGAAGTCATGATTCACTGGGGGCCAATTTTATAACAATATACCAGACTCCTGAAACCTCATCAAGTGAAATATGGAAGGACGCTTGGAACCGCTGTAGATGTGGCCATACCCAAGGTAGTGGCAATAGTTGTGTAAGGTGAGACGGTGCAGCAGGGTCTCTGGTTATCCCTCATTGATGTTCTCTCTTCCTGTCAACCACAACAGGACTGTAACCTGGCTGTAAGGGTCACTCTGGCACCACAATGACATCTTGAGATAACATGCCAGCTCCCCTGCTCTAATACCATTTACTCTTATTCAGTACATTTTCTTTGACCTAGTTCACTGGTAGTTGAGAACACAGGGACTTTAAAAGAGCATATACCTTGACAAAATATAAATTATGCTTTTGTTGCAGGAAGAATCCAGTTGACCTAAAATGACTGTTCTGTTTTATATCTCTTTGCTACATACAGTACAGTATTCCCAGGGAAGGTCTATTTTTTTTTTTTTTTTAACCTCCTTGGATATTTTTTAAAGTTTTCTTTTGAGCATTTTATTTTTCAACTCCCTATTTTCCAAAATAACAGGCTTTATTTTGGTCCAATTTAATCTACTTCAGCACAACCTGGGGCAGTCAAAATATAGAGAGGCTGGTTCTCCCTCCGGAGTCTACTGAAGCCATCAGTGGAAACGTGAGCCGTTTACGGCACAGGCTCTGACTCTTTTTTGAGAAATGAAAATTATATCCCAGAGGAAGGCAGCCTCCCCGAGGCTGTGGGCCAAGAAGATCCCCAGTCTCTTGCTTCTGAAAGTGTTGAGTTTATGAGTCAATAGGAGTTCTTAGCTGCAAGCTTACGGAAATCACCTCTAGCTAACTTAAGCAGATGAAGAGTTTGTGGAAAGATATTGCAAAGGGCACAAAGTTCTGAGAAGGCTGGAAAAGCTGGCATGGCCGTTGTTAGACGAGAGCCATGTCTAAAATCACACCACAGCTATGAAGGAGTCCCACCTCAGCTGGTGGACCCAGACACTGCCATCCCATCATTGGCACCATGAACCTGGATATGGGATGCTGCTGCTGCCGCCACTGCTGGCCCCAAAACTGGATGAACGGCCCCAGATGCCACCTCCCTTTCAAAATGCATTCCACATGACCTTGCTTCTTTGTGTCACTGGCACAGAGGTCAAAGTCTGGTGTATCAAATGGAAAAAGTGTGCTCTCTAGATTCGGAGAGTGCCTGAAATTCCAGTTTCTGCAGTGGGAAGTGGTCACTGCTTATGGCAGAGACTCACAGACTGAGGGTACATTGGTTGAAGTAATGCTAGCTGCTGTAACAATTATGTCCCAGACCTCAGTGACTGATGCAATAGACATCTCTCAGGCATTCCTATAGAGTCCGATCAGTGAGTGGAGCTGGTGGGGGGAAAGGGATGGTTCCACTCTACACTACCAGCGGTCCTGCTAATGGAAGCTCTGTCTACGCCATAGTATGTTGCTTGCAAGGTCACCTTGGCTTCAGTATCGAGCTAGCAGAAAGCAGAGGACTGCCTGGAAGATTGTTATGGGCTAGGCTTGAACCTGGGATACATCATTTCCTCCTACATTCTGTTGTCCAGAAGTGACATAACTATGAGAAAGGCTAGGAAATGGTATCTAGCTGAGAACTCAGGAGAAAAAGTAAAAGGCATTGGTGAACAGCTAGCCAGTTCTGGCAGCATGTAACTCCCCAAGCATAGAATAGGGGCTTAGATCCTGGACAGCCCAACAGAATGATTAAGGTCCACAGCACATTTGACACTGGTACTGTAGTGGTGACTAATACAAATTCTATGTCAAGAATACAAATCAGGAAGCCCCATTTTTGTATTCTGTTCAGTTGGGTCCATGTATCTTAGAATAGAAATACCTTCTTTTCTTGTTAATGTAAGAAAACAGGATGGTGGTGCCTCTGTTGCTGTCAGGTTCATGAGTGTTATTTGCATCTACATAACCAGGGAACCTTAAGAAAGACATTCCAGAGTTGACAGATTCAACATTGGCTTTACAGCCGAGTCAAAGTAATAGATAATCCACGTTAGAAGGCAACACGGGGGCACCCAGTTTAGGGGTTTTGAAGGAAATGGAATCTGTTGAATTATCAGTCCCACCGAACCATCATTTGAGTAGATGGATGCAGAAAGAGGGAAAAGTAAGAGTGGATGATCTGTTCGATTCATTTCTGTTCTCCTTGCTTCAGCCTGGCAACCGAGGCTGATGGGCTTGGAAGGGAGTCTTTTTTGTTTGTTTTTTGAGTTGGAGTCTCACTCTGTCGCCCAGACTGGAGTGCAGTGGCCGCTCCCGGCCACCGC